AAGTGTCTTGCCCAAGGACACAACGACCAGGACAGAGAGCCCAGGGATCGAACCGGCGACCTTCCGGTTACAGATGCGATTCCCAACCCCCTGAGCCACGGTCGCCCCTACATACCTGTGTATGTGTGGACGTAGCCTCAGTCTCTGACCGGAAGCTATACAACAAGGAGAGATTGAGAATTTCCTTTTGGTTCTCAGTCTATTTGATATTGATAAAAGTTAATCAATTTTGTCTGTTCTTCTGTAAAACAAACTAAGCTTTATTTTTAGAATTAATATTTTGTTTCTAAGTGGAATTGACAATTTAGTAGTCTGTTTCGTTTGTTCTATTTTGAAACTTAAACGCTTTAGCGACTGCCTTTTGTGTAGTTTGCAATATTTGCCTTTATTTATCTGAAAATGTCTCATGTTCCTTAAGTACATCTTCCCTGTTGAACTTATTATGGGAAATAAATATTTAAATAAAAACAAGCTGCTGATTATTTCACATTTTACTTGTGAGCAACGGCACATTTAAATCTTACAAATATAGTTATTTGGGTTATATCGTGATAGATATCGTTATCGCCTGAAATGAAAAAAACATATCGTGATATGAAAAAATCTTATATCGCCCAGCTCTACTTGTCAGATATCTGAACCACCTGAACTGGGTCCATTAAATGTGGAGGAGTAGGGCCTCTACTCAAACTGTGTAACATCAACACTCATACCATGGCTGAAGGGCGTTTCTCCCTTCTCTTCCTTACTTTTTACATTTGCATTTATCTGTGGTTATAAATGCAGATGCAGCTGACTGATGATTTTAAACTAGTGTGCACCACTAGGAAATCTGACCTTCTAATGCACGTGTCACAGATATCAAAGCTGACGACGTAACTTACATTGGTTGTGTGTGGGAGCCTTCTCTGGTGATAACGCCTTCTTTGTCCATCAGCATTTGTCTGAATGTGCTTACTTTCTGTCGGATTTCTTCTTCTGTGTACCTGAGGATAAGAAAACACAACAGTTAACAGAGAAGCAAACACATGTTCATCAGTAATCCGCAGCTTTAAATAGCGGGTTCAGCAGTCAGCGAACAAGGATGAATCTGAATTCTTCTCAGTGTTAACCAGAGTCTATGTGAACAGTGACACGGCAGCCTTTAATAACAGCACCGATTGCAGCAGAGGAACTGGCAAAACTAACTGTTATCTGTCATAACTGCCAGAAGCTCGGGTAGGAGGCGTGTCGTGCCCCGCTATCACACAGAGTCAGAAAAAATGGCAAAGGCTGTCTTCTGACTGCATCCTGACCAAAAATTGCACTCAGCCAAATTATGCACATTCTGATGATTCACCGTCAACCTCTCTGGTCCCAGGCGGGCCAGTACTGCATGTTTTATTCTGCAAGTGAGCACCGGGACTCGCAACTGAGCTGAGAGTAACTGCAAGCAGCTTGTGGAGCTCTCTATCAGCTGACACAGACAGAATAATGAGGATCTCTGCAGAGGCACAGAAAAATCAATTACTGTCTCGGTCATATTGTAGATTTGTATTCATATTTTTTAATCTAACATATTTGGCTTTTTTTTTTTTTAGATGGCTGTGGCTGTTAGTAGGGGCAAAAGAAGAGGAGCAAAATGATCAGTGCTGTAATGACGCTCTAATTTCATTGTGAATGTAACAATACAAAATGCACAGAGTAAATCAGAAAGGCAAAACTGTTTATGCATACAGCTTTAGGCTACATCCTCCCAGTCTGTAAATTTCACAAGCAGCAGCCACAGTAGCACTACAGGCTGCCTCTGTAGGAGCAGTGACAGCTCTACAGTGGAGACAGTAATAATTCAACTAGCCTATCTGAACAAGTCCCGTTTTAATCTACAGATACTCATAGATCAGCCGTGCAAGAACATGTGCTTGACAGGACATGGCTTCTTAATTTCACTGCGCGCCGAAGCCCATCTCCCGGTAAATTCACACCAACTTCTAAACCATCTCCAAGTTCAGCTTGGGCTGTGGTAATGAGCTGTAATGAGTTATAGAGCCAGAGAGAAGGTTGGAGGTGGGAGTGAAAAGGGAGAGAATTAATAAAGCTGTGAAATGGTGGCCGAGAGCCAAACATCACAGAGGAAGACTGACTGGGACCCACTTGTATTAATAAGCAACTATAATGTTTATGTCACGTTGAACAATGAAAGAGATCCAGCACTGTGCTCACACAGAAATCCACTGAGATTTACCACACAGCTAAAAACACAGATACTTGCCTTGACCGTAAAACTGCATTCATTGTGTCTTTGAATCTAAACCTACTGGTGTGTGGTGTTTTCATATTTGGTGATTGGCCAATTAGAGCAGGGCGATATGGCCAAAAAAATTTATCACGATATATATTTGAAAATTTGCGATAACGATATAACTGAC